GGAACCGCGTCAGACAGGACGGGTCGCTTTTGCCAAAAACGGACTGCAGTCTGCCTGGGCCCTTCTGTCGTCCGCCCGTCTATATAACCCTGGATCCATTGCAGCGTGGCTTCATCAGGACGGTAGCGACGAGCAAGCGTGGAAAGCAGGTCGTCCTCGGACGCGACATGTCCAGACTCTCGCTCAGAAGAAGTCGGCAGTCTGGGACCGAGCAGGACCGGGACACGGGCTGGTGGTGGGAGGCCTTGGAAGCGCCTCCAATTGCCTTTCTTGACGACAAGTAGGCGCTGTTTGGCTGGAGCCTCGAGGGAAACAATGTCAGCCTTGGCAAGAGGGGGGTGCAACATGCAACATCGCAGCAGGCGGGACGGGGAGGTCTTAAGATGCTGTTGTACCTGTGTGACAACGCCATAGTGGCGAAGACAGGCGGTGCAATGGTCTGAAATGGCGTAATGCCGGCTAGCTAAGCAGCCCATGGGTCTTTGCAAGATGCAGGCAGAGATATTTACGTAAGGAGAACCTTTTGCAGCACAGGTCACAGCAAAAAGGGAGCACCTCTTCGGAAACATTCTCAGCAGCCTGTGAAGGGAAGGCGCTGGCGTCGCAGCCGTTCCCAGCATCGCACCAAAGTCGAAGGTCAACACTTAGGATTTTTCCGCCTTGCGTATCTTCGAAAGCCACCACGTTGGGTCCTCAACGGATGCCTGCACAAGCACCTCGACCTCTCTGCCCGGAGGAACCACGGCACGGAGGGTAGGGAGGTACTGCAAGACATGGTCAAGGTCGGCGACAAGCTGGCCAAGCCAGGAGGAAGCAGGATGCAGGAGGTGGTGGTCGCACAACAGCACAAAAAGCGCTTTATGTGCAGGATCAACAAGCTTTGCCAGAAGCTGGGCTCGTGACTTTGCCAAGGCAAGTGGAGGAGTGACGGCGGCAGCCTGGTGCAGGACGCGGTAAGGGTGCATCTGCGCATCTGGCCGGGTCCTGGGACACAGGAAGCGCCAAAGCGCAAGGTAGTGTCGCTCCCACAAGCGGAGATGGCAAGCGGCCCGAATGATCAATGCAGATGAAGTGTGGAGGTATTTTGACAACACCAGGGAAAACAAGAGGTTCCGCCGCGTCCCAAGGGCGAAGAGTTTGGAGCTAAAGAGGGAGCGCACAAGTGGTCGGGCGGTCCCCGCAGCGCGGGAAAAGCGGTGGTAAAGGTCAGGCTCAGGTGTCGTGGTAGACACAAGAATGCCGCCCAAGTGCTTGTATGCGCTAACAACGGGGAGCTCCTGTGGACACTGCCGTGTCGCGTCGTAGACCTCCGCACACACAGTTTGCTCAATGCCTGGGCCAGCGCGCAGTCCAGTGGCACGGCAAGCGAGCTCTGAGACAACGACAGCTGTCTTTTCCTCACCAAACTTGATGGACATGCCGACAGAGGAGGCATGTGTGGTGAGGAGCGAAACAGAGTCCCGCAAGTTGCAGTAGGGTGTCCGGGGCGCTAGCCGTCAACGGTTGAGTGAAATCGTCAGCCCAGGCGGGGTGCCCGATGTGGAAATCGGGTATGTCAGCAGCCCAGTCAGGTCTCGTTTGTTGGCGCACAAACTGCGGAACAAGACCGGCATCTGCAAGCAGGGCTTGGACTCGCCTGAGGTAAGCCGCTAGACTGAACGCAAACAGTATGTCGGCGGCAGGGTCGCCAGGTCTTGTTCCTCTATGTGTGAGTGTGAGGGCGGTATGCCCTGACAGGCGAAACCAGCACCCCGTGAAAAGGTCTCGGACAAGCTCAACCAAGTGTGACCCCACTCCCAGTCGCGGGAGCTCGGCAACAGCTTCCAAGTGTTGTTTGAGCTCGGAAAGTGCCTGGGGCGGCAGTTGCAGGGCATGGAAGAGCCGAAGCAGCCCTTCGTCTGAGTCAGAGCTGGGGACGAGACACTGCCGCACGACGGTGTAGTAGGCTGCAGAAGGGTCGTAGAACACGACTGCCCAAGGGCGCCGGAGGGCATGCATCTGGGTGGCAAAAGTACGGATGGCGAGGGCGGGGAACTCGACACCCATGCCATCCTGAATGCCTCCGACAAGCTGAGGCTGGGAACGGAGAAGGTGGCTCTTGGGGGAATTCCGGATGGAACGGTGGTATACTTTGCCAACGATGTTGGACACGAGGATTGACCGAAAGTGTTCACATCTCAATACGGAACCCGCTTTTTTGGCGAGAATCACCAAATCTCCACCGCGCCAGCTTGTTGGCTCTTTGATGCGTAGGGAGCTCCCAAATAGTATTCGTAAATATTTAGGCCCCGAGGTTATCTCTCCTCAGACGGGGGCGGGGGGAATAACCCTGAAGCCACAACCCCCTAAACTCGCAAGCTTAAGCCAAGCTCCTGTGATATGTTCCGCCGAAGGGAAGCGAGCCAAGACAGCACCCAAAGCACCACAACAGGAGTGAGTCTCTCATTCCATATGGGTGGTTGTCAAAATTATGGTCCCTTTCTGGGTCCTTATTACAAAACGGCACCTATTATTTAGGGTACCCCAAAAGGGACCATAATTTTGACAACTACCCATATGGAGGCCTCCAAATACCTTTCATAGTCAGGAGCGCTATAGGGAATAACATTGGAAATTCTTTCGGCCTCCATGAAACAGTGAAACAGTACCAGTATGCTTAAACCCTACCCTAAACCCTGGAAGTACATGTATCGACCCTAAACCCTATTCTACAGTACCAGTATTCTTAAACCCTGCCCTAAACCCTGAAAGTAGCATCGACCCTAAACCCTATTCTACGGTACCAGTATTCTTAAACCCTATCCTAGACCCTGAAAGTACCTGTATCGACCCTAAACTCAATTTTCTTAAGCCCTTGATCCTGGACCCCTTTTTTTTCCCTTGGGCTGCGGGCTTCAACACTCCGGGATAGCATCGTCTTCTCCTTTGAGCTTGGCTCAAAGGAGCAATTACGGCACAGCCGGCTTGAAAGGGAGTTCCTTAGACTAAGCGGTTTAGGGTCTATAGAGCTGTGTAAGGTGTATAGTTTACCGGTTTCTGGAGACCGTCTTTTATTCAGGGTATTTTCGGTGTAGGATGCGAGTTCGGGAGAGTTTATTATGTTAAAGGCACTGAAAGGTATCGGTCCGGTTCTTGGTGTATTTAAAAACCACACGTATACTAAGGAATTCTTGCATAAAACCTTTGCAAGTATTCAGGCCAATATATTACATAGGACCCTACCGTTTACCGATCTATACCAGGGCCCAATATTCTGAAAACCCCAAAGGAAAGATGAGAATTGTAGGGGTCCAACCGAATACTGGTTCGGGATGCGAGGACAGACTTAATCTGAAACATGTGCTGTCATCTATCTCTCTCTATGTGTATACATGAATAAACACATATGTCTATTTCTTCATGTATACAGGGACCTCTCAACATTGACTTCCTGTCTAGAGATCTAAATCCCTGCAATTCATGGATTGGGAGCCAAACGGGTCTTTTAAGATTACAGGGCCTCGTAGGTTTAGGATTCCGAAATATGATCCAAGATAGGGGAGATCCTTTTCCCGTAATAATTTCTTTAGGGTTTTGGTGTCCGTTATAGTATAAGAATAAGAAGGACCCCCCCAAAAATAGTAGGGGTAACTATTAGAGACCATGAACTAACACCATTTCGGCATCCTATGATTGAAAGAAAAGTTTGGCCATCAGCATGGAGGAAAACGGTCGAAAACAATTCTTCCGGATACCATAGCTCTCGGCCTTCTCTGAATACCCAGTATCCCTCACTTGCACGGGGCCATTAGTTCAGGATCGGTCTGTACTACAGAAAGAAAAAGTATGTATACTCCTTCAGTTGGAGGGATTTGAGGGATTTTGGATGCGCGACAAAGGGCATGCACCATCGCACGATGCCCTACATTGCGGCCGCGAGCTATGCATTGTGATTTGTGGTTTTTCTACCTGTGCAGCGGGATGGCAGCCGTACCGTGGCTCAGCCACTGGCACACAAGGCAACTTCTACAGCCTAGAACACGCATGGATCCCGGAGCTTAGTAAGGGAACTCGATCCCCAGAAACATTTGTCCCATGACCACAGCCGTAGGCATACTTATAGGACACCGCGAAACATCAAAGGTTGTGTAGCACTTCCAGGTTTTAGTCCTGGTGATCTGATGACCCGATTGTGACTTCGCTGCCTTAGAAAAAACTTTCGGGCTGCATGTGGGTGGCTCTCTGAAGTATTAGTATGATGCTGTTGTAGCTTCTACTAAGGGGAAAGAAATCCTTTCTCGGGGGTCCATAAAGGAAGCGAACTTGGAGAGTTACCCACATACCCGCTGGAGCTCTGGCACCAAAACTCCACGCCGAGGTACTCCACTGACTCACTCACACGCTCAGCGGAGGGAAGTCTACGAGTCTTGCCCGAAATTAAAAGCCCTCCGGGAACAGCCATAAGCCGTGAGAAACGCGCTACAGTGCGAGCACAGCCCACCGGCCATAATAGCTGAACGCCCCATATATGGATAGCCCATACGGCGCCAGCACATGGCACGCCTGCCGCTTCGCAAACGTGATATAGTCTGTACAAGCTTGACCGACTTTCCCCACCGAGGGACTCCAACCCCCCTGAATTGAGCCATATGGCTTGCACTAGAGAGTCCGAAAGATTTGACATGTTGTCCCTGACAAAGGGGTTCGGAGTTCCAGGGCAGGTATGGGATAGTAAAGAAACCCGACCATCTCCTGGCCGGAGGTATCTCGATGCTTGTCCATCTTGTGTCTCTTGCTTCCCATCACTGCACATGCTGTTGCTACTGCGGGACAACGCAATACAGCATAGCAGGCACATGTAGCTCATTGTGTTACAACTACCAAAACATGTTGCTATTGTCGTGAATACTCGCTCACGTTACAAAGTGTTGGTATTAGCGTGCTTTCATGTCGTCTTAAGATGAGAACCGTTTTGTCATCGCAGATTTACATCGAGACGCCGACACGTGCAGCAACGTCGTTCATGATGTACGGGGGACTTCCGGCGATCTTACGACCCCCTTCCCGTGGAAAAGTGCTTGCCAACGCTGAAGTCCGCCACCACATAGCCAAACAAGAAGGCCAGCTGCAACACACCATATGAATGATGCTCCGACACTGTGGTTGGCTGCCCGGCGTGCTGCATAGACACCAGACAGTGCGACCAAGAGGTACAGCAAGAACAAAATCAAAGACTGCGCCACAGAGCAAAGGCTTCTTTCTGCCGATGGGCACCGGTGGCAAAGCAGCAGCAAGAATCTTGGTCCCAGGGTGGGTGCACTGAGGACTGTTCTCTTGGGACCCAAACGAAGGGTTCTGTGCCTGCTGTGGCCCTTTCGAATCCTGATCAAAGGCAATGTACTTAGAATCTTAGAGGTCTTGGTATGCAAGCAGACTGAGTGTCTGCGGTTGGCCAAAAGAGACAATGCCAGAGGAACAAGGAAAACTTGAGAACCCATCGTTGATTGACCTTCAGCTACATATAAGGCTTGAATGATTGACCTTCAGCTACACATAAGGCTTGAACCCTAAGGTTCCAAAAGGGCTCAGATGTCAAGGTTTCAGGTCTTTAGGACTTCAGGCTATGACAGATATATGTACATTCAATAAGGCAGAGGGACAGCATGGTAAAGAGCCACCAAAAAGTGAAGAGGCCCAGCGTCATGGCAAGGCCATATGCCAGGATGGCGTCGGTGGGGGCGTCCCCTGCGACCAAGGCGGCCAGCGCGTCCATCCCTGCTTTCAGCCAGCAGGGAAACATAGCTGCCCTAAGCCTCCAAACTGGCACCAGACAGCTTACGATATGTGGTCGTTTTGTTTGGCTTCAGGTTTTAGGGAAGACCCAACAAGTCCAGACTTTACAGATGACCCTTCTCCCAGAACTGCAGGGTCAAGGCGGTGAAGGTCCAGGTTAAGGGTGTAGTGACTGTAATATTTTTGTTGTGTTCAAGGCTTTCGGGCTAAGGACAGACAGGCTTAGACAAGCAAGAACACGTCCAACATCCGAATCACACCAGCTTGCCTAAGCTAATCCACGGGGTCGTAATCAGCACGCCGTAGTACCACGGTAGGCTCGTACCCAAGTGGTCTTTGAGCAGTTCGTCACGAAGTGGGCCGCGAACATGAGCGGTGAAGGCATCTAAACTGCCTGAATTTGAAAGGAGTCAGGTAGAGCATAGCATGTATACGGTATATATCTCAGCACGGTTGGCAGGTCTCTTCAGCCAGTGTGATATGCGGAGGAACAGGGCCAAAAAGGGACCCTAACTTTGATTAAGAAGGCCCTCACATGGAGAACTTCGGATGCCATTTTAAACTACTGGCATTTTGCATAGTTCCATTTCGACTACATATTCTATTAGCTTTTTTGCCAAGGTGTTATGGTGTGTTCGCAGGTATACTGGCTATCATCACATGAAGGCACCAGCATGAGCAATTAGTAGCTGAGTAAGCATCAATGGAGCTGACATCAATTTCAATCGAGCACCTCTGAACCCCAATCACTAAAAACCTGAAGCCCTAGTGGTCCATTTACTTAGGGGCCGGGTACCTTAGCTCAAGGATTATATAAGCCCCAAAAAGCTAAAGGCTACCTACTCAGCCCGTAAGTTTACAGGAACACTTCAAAGAAGCCTTGGAGAATCCCCTCTTCCGTCAGAAGCTGGGGAGCCCTTCTGACCGGAGTCGCGAACCTTGCCGTAAACTTTAACACACCCAAAACCTCTGAAAATGCCCTAGACTTAAACCCCGTGCAAACTCTAAACGCAAACCACACATCCTCAATCCCTAGACCCTAAACGAAACTATACCTGAGAACCCCTCCAACAGGAAACCTGGACTCGACAGGACCCAGCTACCGTACCACTTTTGGATTGCGCTGTAGATGAACTCCTGATCCTTCGCTGGTGAGTTCCGTGGACGAAAAAACTAGACTTCGTATTATGTGGGTGCTATGAGAAATGCAAAACCCTAAACCTTAACCTTTCTTAACCACTGCGTGACTAGATGTACACGTGTACGTATCTATGTATGTATGTGCACACATACAATGTCTGACATCCGCGACATAAGTTGGTCGGGCAACTATGTGACTGTCTCGAATCTCTTCGCTAGGCCCTGGGCAACTCGACAGCGTTCTCAAGGTGAGAAGTAAAGGGTACATACATACATACATACATACATACATACATACATACATACATACATACATGCATACCTACCTACTTGCCTACCTACCTACCTACCTACCTACCTACCTGCCTGCCTGCCTGCCTGCGTGCCTGCCTACCTACCTACATACATACATATGTCTATATATATATATTTGTACATATATATATATATACATACATACAAATATTGTCACCCTGGCCCTAAACCTTAAACTCCAGAATCCGAGGCAAATCTGCAGCTCGCATTCGACAGTTCGAAGTTTGCCAAGGCCAAGAAGACCTCACCAAAAGAGCGGCCCCAATAAGGCTTGAGTGGTTTAGGGTTTAGGTCCTGAAGAGAAAGGGGTATTTTCGGGTTTTATATTGAAGGCTCTATGATCCTTGATGCTTCGACTGCAGTATTGGAACGAGAATATCTCGTACCAAGACAGCAAAAAACCAAAGGACTAACAATTGCTGAGCCACATTAGTGTTCTCTGCCCCCGGAGACTTTAAGGGTTCAGCTGTAGTAGAGCTCAGTCAGGGGCTCCGAGAGGTTTGGGGTTGGTCAGGATCTTTTACCTAGGGCGTCGTTTGTATGGGGCACAAGAACTCCCACCTTGGACTTCCATCCGGTTCCTGTAAGGATTCTTTTAAGCATTCTATGTAATAAGGGCCTTCAGAACTTGAGTAGGGTTTTGGGCGCATTGTAACAGTATTCGCAATAGGGAACCGTAGGGAAAAGCATGGCTAAACTCTTTGGCCTTCTATAGTACCCTCTAGGCCTCTAAACCCATCCTCTAGCGACTCTGGCGGTTCGATATTGAAAAGAAACTCAAGGTATTTGGGAATTTCCGAAAATAAGGGGTACCATATTTGGGGGTCCTTATAATAGGGATCCTACTATTTAGGGTACTATACTAGGGTCCCCTATTTTCGGAAGCCCCCATTTGAATGCCTCCAAGCCCTGGCTCCCTTTGCCATCCCACTAGGGTTTAGGGTTTAGGGTTTAGGGTTTAGTGGTTTAGGGTTTAAGGGTTAAGGGTTAAGGGTTAAGGGTTAAGGGTTTAGGGTTTGGGGGTTTAGTGGTTTAGGGTTTAAGTTTAGGGTTTAGGCTTCTTGTAAATTAGACGTGCCACTGCACTGTCATGACGGCCGAAAAGTGTTTGCTCACTCGATTCGCATGGTGTGCTACTCCATGGGTTATGCCACAGTGAGCAGTCGCAGTGCTTTGGTTCATGTTGCCAGTTTTGCGCATGTCTCGCAAACCACGGATCGAGTCACCTAAGGCAGCAGGTGGTTATGCCATGTGGCACCGTGTGCTGGTGTTAGTTTAAGCCATCTGAATAGGGACACCATATCCTGAAGCGAAGAAACAATAACATCCCCATTTAGAGAATTAAACCCTCAACCGGGTTAAGTCCACACCTGGCGCTTCCGGGACAGGTTCTGCCGGAGGAGGTGGAAGACTCCGAGCAGCGGGAGCAGTGCCACGACAAGAAGAACTGTGCCGCCTCATGTGGGATTCGAGGTTCAGGGTGTCGGGTTTAGATGGACGCCTTTGTGACGGAAGGTCTGGGAAACCGGCATGTCGGAGGGTACTTCCTAGATGCTTCGAACTTCGAAGCCAAAGGAGAGTTGAATGCATTGGGGACCTGCACCGCTGAGTAAGCGCTTTCTGGAGCATGTTTTTGGGGTATCTCCAACCAAGTCCCATGATGCAACAATGCCAAACCTCGCGCACTCGTGGATGTGCAGGCACGCGCCTCCCCCCACCGGCGGAAAAGCGCTTCGCTGGAGCTGAGAGACTAGTCATGCCAACTAGAAAGTGCAGGAGAGCAGCCACCGGACTTGCTTGCACTTTGCAAGGGATTGGAACCCTGCACCCTAAATCGTCAAAAGCTGTAACTCCCCTTTCCCCTTCCTCTCCAACCTAAACCCGCAGCCCCTAAATCCCAAACCTCAAGCCCCACGGGCCCTAAATCCTAGACTAAACCCTCAACCCCTAAATCCTAAAAACTAGCACAGGCCCTCAATCCCAAACTAAATCCTCCTAAATCCTAAACCCTAAGCCCCGAAAGCTCTTGAACCCGAAGCCAGACGAACGAAAGCTTGTGAGGAACTCATACACGATCCATTGCTAAAGCCTAAGGTGAGCCCCAGAAAGCTGAACATGGACTAAGGCTGATTAGTGATGGGATTCCTTCTATCTTTTTGGGGGGCCATGAAGATTTTGATGTTCCAGCTTTCTGGCCCCTGCTCTAAAAGGACCCCATTTTAAAAGCCGGCTAAATTTGCTCGGAGATGCGAAACTTCGTGAGGAAGCCCACAATGTAGAGAAGAATCGCCAATGTGCCTCCGAGCCAGAGGACGGCCACACCGAGCTCCACAAACCTTTCGGCTTAGGGTTTCGACTCGCACTCTCGCACAGGGCAGGCACAGATTCGTAGTTCGTAGGTCGGCGTCATTGCTAGTCTGACATTGCTACAGGCACATGCGGCGAGCACCTAGCAAACAGATAGGGCTCGACAAACACAGCAGAATACCATGTAAAGGTAGAGGCTTAAGGTGTTTTGTGAGCTCGTGACTAGTAATGGTCTACACAATAATAAACTACCCCTCAATAGTCCTAAACCATCCTAAACCACCGTCCCGCTTTTGTGCTTACAGCTGTTTTGGAAATCGAGGCTACTGTACTACTACTGTATTACTACTCTACTACTTACTCTGTAGGGCTACTGTACTGCTGTACTATTACTGTACTATTGACCTTGCAACAACTTAGACCCCGCCCCCCAGCCCCCAAAAAAACTTGGTTGTGGGAGGCGGACCCCCGACCACTAATTCACTAATGCGGACTCCGAATGTTCGGGGCGGGGGGAGGGGGGGGTATTAATCAGGAGATCACCTTAAAGTCTGCCATGTGGGGTTTTGAGAAGCTTGTATTTAAAGGGCTGGCGATTCAATCAAAATCCTCTGCTATGGTCTTTTGAGCCCATGAAGGACCCCTTGCTACAAGAGTGACATTCCTTTGGTAAGCCCGAAAAAGAACCCCGATCTGGAGAAATATTTAATCCCTAAACCCTAAACCTAGATGTCGGGCGCACAACTCAAAGCAAGATACGAACTTGAATAGTAAGACTTGTGACGGAAGTTGTACTTCATCTCTGCTCGGGATTTGGAAGGAAAAGTCGCTTATGGTTTAGGGTTTAGTATTTCGGCCCTGTGTTGTTTAAGGAAAGGCCCCGCGGGTTTCAGGATACAAGGTTTAAGGCGTATTGGGATGTCCAACTAATATAGGGGGCCTCGGGATACATGTACAAAGACTATAATGGCCATAAGGGGACCCCTCTCTATGTCGCAAAGTCATGATGCAAGCCTTAATTACACTGTTGGTAGCACCGTGTCGCCTACTTTGCAGTAATCGGCTCTAGATGAAGGGTCCCTAATGCATCCCCCCGTTCCAACAAAAAACAAAGTTGTGGGATTCTTATGGAGCCCTAAATATGGGACCCCTCCATAGAACCCTACTAAAGTCCCTCAGCCTTATCTGAAGGCCCCGGATGGCCAGAGCCTTCACTCCGGGGTTGTGTTCGGAACGCCAGCCGATAGGTTCGGGATGTGATTTTAATTCTGTATGATTGGAAGATGTTGGAAGCAAGGTCTTAAATGGGGGCTCCTGTACAGCCACTTCAGAGCAAAGTATACATGTACATGGGGATATGGTTGGAGCGTCGCCGGTAGCTTAGCAACACGGCATCTAGCAAATACCTGGCACTTGCTGGACTTGACAAGCTTGGCTGCTGAGCTTGACTATGGTAACTCGCGCCAAAGCAAACCCTAAATTGGCGAGCCAAACAACATTGAGTGAAAGCAATAAAACACTTAACAACCTGGTGTTCGGGGTCTAGGGCTTAGTTATAATCCATGTACATCTCCCCCTATGCTCATGCTGTAGCCTCTACGCTTCAGAGGGACGCTTCCTGGTATTCGCACGACATGCTTGCAGTGTCCATGGTCTAGTTGTGTGCGTGATGATCAGTGATGATCCTTCATCTGAACCCTAAACCCTAAACCCTAAACCTTAACCGCAGTTGCGCCCCACAAGCTTGGAGCCTCAGTGTTGAATGCAGCTTCGTGTTAGCCCTGCCTATGCCGCACGCCTATGCGCTGTGTATAATACGCTAAACCCTAAACCCTAAACATGTGGCCCAAATCCTGAACGAACTATCGCTATCTCTCTAAATGCAGACAAACCATGGAGGAGACAAACACAGAAAGAAAGAATGATCCATCTAGACGTTGTGCTATACAATACGATATTACACTATGCTATACTATATTATACTAGACTCTGTATTAGACCCGACTATGTGCCATCGGAGGAGCAACGGCGCGAAGCGGATCCTGCCAAAGGGCGCCAACAAACGGCAGTTGCTGGAGATTCCAAGTTTCAATAACCATGTTAATATATATATATATATACACACACACAGAGGGGTCTTAATAATTAGAATAGGATCTTGGGTTTCCTTTAAAGGGTTCCTTAAAAAGCTGCAGGGATTAATATAGGGGCCTTAATAATTAGAATAGGGCTTTGGGGCCCATGATACTATAACCATACTAAGGAGCCCCACAATAGTGAATGTAATTATGTAGGCCCCTACATTAAGCCGGGCATGTTCGAGCTTCGTAAGTGGATATCTTACGGGGTTCTTAAGATCATAAGCCCAACTGCTTGGAGGCCCAGGGGACTTAGTAAGTCGATTATAAGTAGGGTTATAATTGGGGTAACTCCATTTAGGGTACTTATAACTCTACTTAAAACCTACTTACCTTTTTTTTGAACCCAGACAACCTACTTACCCTAAACCCTAAACCCTGAAACCACTTACTAAGTTCCCTGGGCCTCCAATTAGGATCCCTGTTTCTTGCACGCAGCGACTGAGGACCCAGCCCTGGCCAATGCCCAACCCTGCCTTGCTGCTCTGCAACTTCTATCGATTTTGGGTTTAGGGTTTAGGGGATGGAACTTAAGCTCTTTGTGGTCGGCCCATGCGTTCTTTTTTGTTTTGTGTGTGCGTGTGTGTGTTTTTGTCCTGGGGCTGGGTGGGGTTGGATGGGTTCGCAGACCATGCCGCCCGAAACATGGTGCATCCGTGCCGCACCATTCCTTGTTAATCCTCGTGCCAATGTGAACCTCAAGTAAAGTTTTCGCGCATCTTTGGAGTTTGTGGATTTCGTTCCATATAATTCCCATTCACCCTGTAAACGCTGAACCTTGCAAACCCTTTTCGTATCACGACTTGTGACACTCCCTAAACCATGGCTCTTCAGGCTGGAGTTGCTTTGGCTCTTCCAAACTTCCTGAACACCAGACCCAAAACCTTACGTATCAGTGCGACGACCTGCCGAGCAGTTAGTATCCGAGCGCTGTAATCTGTAAACCCAAAACACTATGATATAATATGGGGGCCTTTATCATACAAGTCCTCACCCTCTGAGGGATGTGTTAAGAGAGTTACCATAAGGGTTCTATGATATAGGAGCCGTAACTCGTACGTAGATTACGGTTTTAGGGTTAGTACAGCACAGTATAGTATATTATAGTATGGTATAACATGGAACTGTATCGTGCCGTATCGTTTAGCACAGCATAGCATAGCGAAGCAAAGCACATCACAGCACAGCACAGCACAGCACAGCACAGCACAGCACAGCACAGCACCGCACAGCACAGTACTGTATAAGTATAAGTATACTCAGGCTGTAATGGCAAGCCCTGAACAGTCTAGCAAACCCTATAAATCCCAAGGAGGCACCCTTTTGCATCATAGGTCCTTAGCAACCCTCAACCCTTGAAGAGACCGAACGAGTGAAACAGTCCTGCCGGTGGGGTTGGCCGTGCGGAAGGCAGCCAACTCAAAAACGCACCACAACCTGTGCTGGCGTGGCTTGAGTTCCTTGAGTTCCTTGTTTGATGCCAAGCTGTGCTTACGTAGAAAGAGCAGTTAGACACCATGAAAGCTTGCGAGGCTGAAAGTTCCGGGTTTGGGGCTGGGAAATATTTCGTGAAAAGATAAGGTTCTGAGCTCGCAACTCGTCGCTGGTTGCCTTGCTAGTACTTCACTGTAGACATCCACATCATCCTCGTGCTACTCTCTTGCCATATACCCTGCGGCTTAGGCTTCCAGGACAAGCAGACCGAAAGCATCAGGAACTCCGAGCCTGTGCTGATCATGCAAGAACTACCTATAGTCTCTATTGTAGTTCCTTGTGGGGGTTACCTTTTAGGATCCTTAATATAAATTTGGCTAAACCAAAAAAAAGAACTACATTGGAGACCATAGGTAAACCTCAAACCCGAAACCCTGAATTCGAAGCCCTTGCGCCTGGAGAGGTATCGTCCAGAATAAAGGATTCTCATTTCCTTGGACCGGGGGGGTTTAGGGTTTAGGGTCTAGTCTTGGGGGGTTTAGGATTCAGGGTTTAGAGTCAGCCAAGAAGAGCAGTCTTTGCCCCATATTCTCGGCAACCTTCCCAGAGCCCCTGTTAGTGCGCCAAAAAGGCACATAAGCAAAAATTAGGATAGGGATATCCGCCATAATCCCATATAAACCCCTTGTAATGAAGCCCAATAAGGTGGGGATATCCTTATAACATGCTGATGCTTATGTCCCTTTGGGGTTCCTAAGTACCCTAAACATCGAGCCGGGAGTAAGTCCAGAACGGAAGGAACAACTGTACCACTGCCCCTGCGTCTCTTTGGAAGCACTCAGGAAGCCGCCAAGCCCTGAGCTCTGTCGTGTTGTTTCGAGTTTAGGCTTTTCGGCTTTCGGGTCCAGGGTTTACGATTTTAGGCTCTATAGGGCTCCAGGGTTTTTATGCCGGTTGTCTTGAGTTGGGCTTTTACCGCAGGGGTGAGGCTCTCATAGGGGGTTTGGGCTTTCAGACGGCTTGGGCAAACATCCGCGGGTTGCTATCCACTTTGTATCGGTCTTCCTCACTTACCGTGGTGCCCCTACACGTGCTCCTAAATACCGTCCCTTGGCCGCAAAATGAAAAAGGCTAAGAACGAGAGCCTGGAGTCCATAGATGCCCTGCTGCATCATCTTGGCATCGCATTGGTTGATGCTGACCACATCGAGGAAACAGGATTGTTTCTTGTCCCCGACGTCGGGGATGTAGGGAACAACGAAGAAAGTGAGGACAGACACAGGCATGGCAACGAGTATGCCGAGGCCACTGAACGGGCACTTCGCATCGAAATTTTGAACTCCGAAGCTGACTGTGCCAAGCACAGGCGCCAGACGCAAGCAGCACAGGAGCTCCACCATCACCAGGACAAGAAGCCATAACAGCAGAACGTAGGCCCAGCCCTGCTGAAAGGATAGAGAGAGGTACCTCATTCAATCGTATAGAATATTGCAGAGTCTTACACAACTCTTACTTATATAAGTATGTATTCATGTATTTTATTTGTAGATATTATGTTGGCACTGGAGGAGAGGCTCCCCTCTTCGTGGCAGAGCTCAGGCATTCAAATTTCTCAGGAACCGTAAGAACAAGCTTTCTCGACAGTATGCCACATCCTCCTGCCCCAAAACGCTAGAACCCCTGAAACCCGCTGGTGCTACGCTGCAGACATCGAAGCACACTCCACATGGAGAGCGGTTTGGTGCAGCGGATGCTTCGGGATTTGGGCATTAGGTATTGTGCAGACGGTCAAACGGGAGTTTCCGATAATTAGGGTACCCTACTTTGGGGTCCTTATAATAAGGATCCGACTATTTAGGGTACTATATTAGGGTCCCCTATTTTCTGAAACCCCCAAACAATCCGCATAAGGGTACTTCCAACTTCCTCTGGTAGCCCATGTGTGCGACAGGAAAATGTCGAAGTGGTCGACCTGGACAGGGCGATGTGCATGTCTGGGAGGGCTTTGTGGCCAACATCTGGCCAACATTTTAAGGAGTGGCCGCAGCCCATGAGATAAGTGCCAGGCTGTAGTAACAGTGTATGCTTGACATTGCAAGCACAAAGAGGGGCTGTAACAGCACAACGGAAACGAAGTCATGTTCAAAATTGCACAGTGCGAACGACGAGCAGCAAACACAACGTTTATTTGCAGGTGCTTCAAACTAAACTAAAGTGTGACCCCAAATACCCCTTGCACAGCCCCCTCCCCCCGTCCCCAAACCTGCCGCGAACGTGACCAAAGTCCAGCTTTCTCCTGTTAAGAACTTGCGGAATCAGGGGGTCAAGGGCTACGATTCCAGGCCGCTTAGGCAAAGTTCAAGTGCATTTGATACTAAGTGCTGGAAAGCTTCATGGTGTGCGTTTCAGGCGCTATTGTGTACTGCTGCGCACCCCCTGCACAAACATATACATGATTGCGCCTCTTCCTTGTGTCGCTGCAGAGCCCCATAATGGCATCTACTCTGAAGCGCCCCGAAAGCCGTGTCGATCCGATTCATCAACCCTGAACCCTAAACCTGGAAAGTAAACCATGGATGCTAAGTCCTTCTCCGGCAAGTCGATGGGGGATTTGCGCCATAACCGCCCGCCACGACGCAAAGATTCCTTTATGGAGATGCCTCCAGAACAACATGATAGGGAATCATGCATGTGACCTACGCCCAATATATGTGCAGAATGTGTGGTGGAGGCGGTGTTCGCGGGATTCCGGGCCCGGTACTCATTCTCACGAGCGGCCGACGTGGTGTAGGAAGGGTGGGGTTTAACAACAAATGGGTTTGAACTGTCCTTCCCGCTTCGCGTTGGACTGCTGGACCGAATCATCAATAGGATATTGACTTTATTTTTATTGTTCTGTTTATGCTGCTAGTATAATTGTCGCTACTTTTGTTGAGTTGCTACTATTAAGCGACAAAAAGCAACAAAATAATAACAAAGATTGTGGTATCAAGCCATTCAGCCATCAGAATACAGCTAGCTTGCATTACCTCCCCAGAATCGAAAAAGGGACGAGTCTGTCTGCTTGCTGGCTTGGCTCCCAGTTTAGGGTTTAGGGTTTAGGGTTTAGGGTTTAGGGTTTAGGGTTTAGGGATTAAATCAGGAGTGGTGGGGGCTAACTACAATGGGCTTATACAACCAAGAACCCGACGGAATGATGTCGGTAATGACCCAGGCCTGTACATTTTGACGGGACAGGTTCGCTTAGAAGTCCTATTGACCGAAACTGTCGGCTAAGGGGTTTATAGTAGGGTTTAGGGATACTATGCTTACCGGCCGCGAGATAAGGTATCCCAAGCTTTACGAACACCCCCTGACCCACTTCTGCTGATCCTCGTGTCCCCCCTTGAACAGGAGGCGGGAAGAAGTTGGATAGAGCGGGCAGTAACGTACGGACCGTAAAGATAAATTGGACTAGAGTGTGGGGGTAACACATACCTTGTAGGGCAACACATACTTGTTTCTAAGAACCTTTCGGGATCACAATCGGGGCTTCAGACTAGGATGACTCTTCCACAAAGCCACCACGCCTTCTCAATCAGATACGGGTAGAGTTTCTGCATCTAGCTTGAAGAGCTGGCAACCTGAACATTCCTGAACGATCCATCTCTCTCAGATCCTACCCAAGCATCTACAAGCAACCCTCAACCCTAAACCCTACACCTACAAGCCCTTCAATTTTCAAATCTCGCAGCCTGAAGCCGAAATCCCAAGTTATCTAAACCCGGTGGGGCTCTACAGGGCTACAGGAGGATCCTTATGGTGGGGTCTTGCTGGGGTTTCCTGACCTTCTTTGTACGTTTATACTGTGAAGTATGCACCCGGAAATCCATGCTCAGAGGGAGTTCATAAATGTGGGGGGCCCTGCCCGGCTTTTTCGGGGAGGCCTCGCATCAAATCTGCACTTCTCAGGGTGAGGATTTTGTCAATGCTGGGGCCGGAAAAGGTCGATGCTGACGACACGGAAGTCCTTCGGGTTTGGGGCGTCGAGTTCCGTCTGGGTTCCAAGCCCAGAGTGTTTCATAGGGCTTTCCATGGATGAGCGTTTAGAGTGGTGGGGTTCCGGCTTAGGTCCGAAGTCCTTCTTGATTCGGGCGACGGTGCCTCCCCTCTCGGGCTTGAGCCTTCGTTCTCGCTGTGCTTCTCTTCCGCCTTGATCGTGACAACCTCCACTGGAGCTCCCTGGGTCTCCGTTGTCCCATCGCATTTGCAGCTGGTTCCAGAGCCCATGGCGGGAAAACGTGCTTCAACGACCCAGCCTTGGGGGCAAAGGAGCATTGAACCCAAACAGAGCAAGACCGGAGGAAATTACGACTGTACAGATCCTGTTCAGTACAGTTATACATTAGTGCATAAGTATCTGTTCTTCTCGTTGTTCTCAGAGGCCTGCACGGATTGCAGGATGCAGGCATGCTCGTATAGGTTCTGTGAATCTAGGACAGACCGGGAAGTTCTGTAGAAAAGCCCAATGTAAATCGTTTTCCTGAGCTCGATGTTCTGCGAAACCTCCGGGACTGACCTTGAGGCCAAGCTGGACCCATAGTGCCTTCTTTTGGTTACCTTAGGTTTCTGGCTTTAGGATCCTCACCAAAACTAAGCCATCCAAACAACGGTACCACCTTCCAGGGTGTAGATAATCATATTACTACAGGGTTCAGGATTTAGGGGAGGTATGATTTTTCGTCGATACCCGTTATCCGCGGGTGTAGGGTATACGGTGTAGCAACGTCACCAACAAAATATGTGATTATCACCTTGCGGATGTCTTTGCTGACTCTCTCCAACTACGTGGCCCATGCTAAAACTATCAGTCACTTCCACGAACATGTCTTTGAACCAAAGTGATCTGAAGGTTGAAGACACAACCTGATCGGGTTCGGACGGTCCTTGCAACCACGGCTTTCTGGGAAACACGCGTTGCGCAGGAGACAACGGTCCTAAGCCCTTGCGGTTTCTTTCTGAGGCGGTAGGCTGCAGTGCAGATTGCTGGTGGAAGCCGGGCATGTGAGAATATAAAAGCTGGGATCTGCTGCAGATGTTTATCTTCCTGGCATATGCCCCGCCTGGGGCCGGAAAACTGTGTAACTACATTCCACAGCTGAACCCACAGCTAGGGTCGTCTGCCTTTCACCGCAAGCGACAAGCAATGCAGTGTCAGGACGCCCTCAAGTGTGGCCGTCATGCCAAGGAAGCTTACTCACCCCGACATTCGGCAGAAAGACTAACGGAAGCCCCGTTGCACTTCACTGTCATGTAGCTCCATGCCCTCCAGCCACGGTTTCAATTTCTGGCACCGGCCATCCTAGGAATCGACCTTCTGATCTCTCATTACACACATCTGTACGCATATGTTCTAAGCAGAGGACATTCCTTGCTCTTGCAGGCTCGTCGCCCTGCAAAGCAGCGGCAGCAGCAGCAGCAGCAGCAGCATGCAGCAGCCTCAGCCATACGACCGCTTCCAACTAGCATTGCCACCACACTTGGAACGAACCCCGTAATCCTGCTCTCTCTCTCTCTCTCTCGCTCTCTCTCTCTCTCTCTCTGTCTCTATATATATAAAAAATATACACATGTAACATGTGTATATATATACATATACATCTATGTATATCCTAACTGAACCCTTTATAAACCCCTAAACCAACTACCCTGCATCGCTTGAACCGTCGCCGAAGCTTCATGGGGCCTGCAGGGTTGCAACGCGACGGCGGCTGCATAAAATTAAAACGCAGCGACACTCCCTTGGCCCCAGAAGCTCAGGTCTGGGGATAGGGGTTTAGGGGTTTAGGGGTTTAGGGGTTTAGGGGTTTAGGGTTTAAGGGTTCGGGTTCAGGGGTTTTCGGATTCAGAGGTTTAGGGTTTACCCTCTCACAACTCGGACAAGCCAGGCGAGGATCCACAGGTGCAATGGCCGGCGTGATATCAAGATAACGTGATGCCTAGGTTTAGGGTCTGGGGTTTTCGGATTCAGAGTTTGGGTTTGGGGCTTCTAGGGCTTATAGCGTTTAGGCGCTGAAAGGTTTACTGCACGACATTGGGTTTAGGGTTTGAGCCGCTGAAGCGCTTTGATGAGGACCGGCTCCACATGGAATACACATTCTTGCCTGAAAATGAGTAAACTGAGGGCCTGAAGAATTGGAATAGAGTTTCGGAGATCTTACTTAGAGTATGGTTGTCTTAAAGAACGCCTGTAAATTAGTCAGACCCCCTACAGTGGCATACCGGCATACCCTACCAGATTTTTAAGGTACCTACTTTTCTATATAACGAATCCTAACCATGAAAGCGCGTACCTGAGAAAAAAGGGTAAGGTAAGTCCAGCTCTTCCGCCTGATCGGCTGCCGTACCCTCTGGGACGACAAGAGCTTTAACATCCCTCAGAAGAAGCGGAGCTTGAAGATCCTCTGCTATATGGGCCTTACTAAGTACCTACAGTCTCCATTGTAGTTCCTTTCTTGGTAAACCAGCTAAATATCCAGGATTTTATATAAGGTATCCCCAAAAGGAACTACAATGTCGAGTAAAGGTGCTAAGTAGAATAGGGTTTTGGGGTCTATTGCACCATAGCTATAACAAGGAACCCTCAGGAGCGGTATGGGTCAAACTTCAGGGTTCTAGATTGAAGAGTACCACCTCGGAGGTTCATGGGTAGCTATACTTGCGGAGCTAAAATTATAAGGTAACTATAAATATAACCCATACCGAGGGATTTCAACTGCACTTATAACTACCCGAGGATAAAGGATTGTCGTGGGGGATCCTCCGATCACGCATGTAAAATAGGAACTTACACTAAACAGAGGCAACCAATGCTCCGGAAACGCAAGGGCAGTGCAGCTAATGGGGTTTATACCCAGGCCCTGCAAAGATTGGTTTTGATAGGTTACAACAGGGTTCACCCAAAGATGTTTTTTTGGGCTTAGGGTTCAGCAAACTCCATAACAGTGGAATGTGGATTGAGAACGGATGGTGCTAGGATTCCCTTTCAGCTGCTCTTGGGCCAAGATGGTAATGATGCGCCCAACTCTTAACTTCTACCCCAAACGGTAACGGGAGGAGTCTGGGAGCAAGCTCCGCTTAAACAAGAAATGGCTTCGCCAGTCAAGCGAACTGCGGGTCTTCGAATGCCGCTATCACGAATGAGAGCTGTATGCGGGCTAGGATGGGCGAGCGCTAGATGCGCTTTGGAACGGATTCTGAAGGGCTCTTTCAGCGGAGGGCATTAGGGACTGCACTAGCTGTTTTAGGGGGTCTAGGGTTAACAATGACCGAGGGCTTGTGTTTAAGCCTTCCTTGAGGGGTGTCCTGGAAGAGGTGTGGCTGCGGTTGAGGGACATGCAATATCCGACATCACCATGAATCCCTGCCCCTAAATTTGTACCGACATGCCCCGCAAAAGGAGTTTAACCGGGGCCAAGTCTACAGAGCAGTTCATGGGCCGCTTAGGTGAGACAAGGGGATCGCCCATGGGCAGAGGGCTGGGGGACTTACGACTGCTCATTTACCTATAGTCTCCATTGTAGTTCCTTTTTGGGATACCTTATAAAATCCTTAATATATAATTGGTTAAACCAAAAAAGGAACTACAATGGAGACTATAGGTAACCACTATGGAAGCTCTCTCTCTCTCTCTCCAAGTTCAGGGCTTACTGTATAGGGCTTCACGATTGCAAGAGCGAGTGCGTACTAGAACCTGCGAGTTGACTTCCGAGTCCTCTCAAAGTTTAGGTTTACGGACTGTCCCAACAAATTTATAGTAACCCCGCATCCATTTTCAGGAAAGCTCCAATAAGCCAGGAGGGAGTGAACCAAATGTCTCTTCCAATCCACTGTTAACCCAGAAGATCATGATGACCAGAGAGTTCGGGCTTTGTGATTCTAGGGCTCGGACGAGTGAGGCGAGGTTTAACGGAGGCCGTAATTAGAGTAGGGCCGTTGCGCATCATACCATAGTGTAGCAGGGACTTTAGGAGGGGCTATGAGCAGTTCTCAGACCCAGTCATAAAGCCAGACCAGATAAAACACGCACGAGACTACTACAAGCCGCGCTCGCGATTGCGGCAGCTAGCTTCTAGGCTTTTTCGTAACATGCCCTGAGGGTTCTTAACGGTCTAGGTTTTCGGGATGGTGCACGGCAAGACTTTACACTACTATATCTAGGCTGTTGGACCCTGAGGGCAATGAGGCTTGAAATGAGGCTTGGCTTTGCCAAGGCCTGCCTGCTCTCCGGGCAAGCACAGATGCTCCTTATGATTGCAATGCGGCTTTCTGCGGCGTAACGACAAGAACCGCTTGCATCAGCTCGGATATACATGCAAGACCCTGAACCCAGGGCCCTGATGATCAGGGCCCAAGCCCTTACCCCGTCGTCTTCTTGTTCAGTTCCCCGACGTTGTATGCAGAAGGGGTGGGCGTACTTTCACTCTCTGACCCGAGAAACCTCCTGGGTTTGGGAGAAGCCGATCTGTAGACTCACATGGCAAGGTGTCCGTGGCTCTGAGACTGCAACGCCCAAAACTCTAATTCTGAATCCTCAAAGCTACTCTTGGGATCTTCTTGAGGGCCGAAGGTGAGGAGGAACCTTTTGTGTGAATTGGAGGAAGGCTAAAAGCAAAGCTTTGCCTGAAGTCCTGCCTTTCGTGGTCTTATGTATCCATTCTCTGACTGCCTTGGGTTGTAAAACATCCTCAAAAAACACTCAAGACGTAACAAGGCAATGACAACACCCATTCCGGATGCACAGAAAAAGCCGACGCGAACCAGCCCCAACGACCACTGCGAAGATGGAAACCGTAAGATCATCACCACTGCTGCGCCACCGTCCATCGACAGAACCAGTACCAATTACTGTGGTCACGTTGAGGAATCCATTTCCAAGGAGACTCAGAACCGTCGGCAATGTCATGGCTTTCGTCAAAATCAGCAGAGAATTGGTGTCACCATTCAAAGCAGTTGGCCGGTTGGTTGTCT